AAACATCCGAAATTTAACATCAACTTCATTATTGGGCTCTTGCTGTCTAAAGAACGTTGGGGGAAATGGTGCTATTGGTAAGGCCCCCACTTGACGTTGTTCGCACCTATTTAGCGCTTCATCTCTAGCTTTTTTGCGGAGTCTATTTTGAAGTTCATGTAAACCACATGCGACCCTTCGCAAGGTTATCTTAGAAATGGGTTCAGATGGTGAGAAACTCGGCCCCAATTCTAATAACGAGCGCGCACCGTCAGGGAGAGTTATGCCTCCTAATACGGTTAGCCTTGAATTTTCTTGCACATTACCTCTCCTAACGTGATCTGTTTGATGTTTTTTAGCGATATTTTTGTGCGCTATTGAAGCTGTGTTATGTGATTTACTCAAAAGGTCTTCGAATTTTCTTCGCAAAGCTACTTTAGCATTAGACCTAATAGAGTTGCAAATCAATCGCCTCAGTATTAAAAATAGATCCCCTACAGTAAACGGCGAGAAGGAAACGATCTATCGGCTTCACAATCAGAGTTCTATCATTGCACAACAAGAACTGATTTGGAAAAACATCTATATACCGGTGGTTTTATCTCAACTAACAATTTGACCACGAGTTGGAATTTGTTTGTTGAAAGCTGAACTTGAAAAAATGTTCGGCCACGTCGAAACCAATTCGTAGAGTTGTGTTACAGTTGTGTTATGGAAACCATAGTGGACAGAACTACAAAACCAGTTATTTAACAAACTATAGTACAATTGCTCTGTGTTCTTATTCTGTAAACGTTGCAAGGATTATCTTACCGTATACATGGAGCTAAACATATATGGAGCTGGAATTCTTTAAGATAGATCGCAATATGGCTTCAGATGAATAAATGACATAGGATAAATCATGAGAAAATTATGAAAGTCAGTCAGGAGTCTTATTCGCGGTAACCCTTAAGGAGTAAAGGAGACTCATATAATCAATGCAATTTCAGTAATAGGATCACAACTGTATGAAGATGTTTTTGGAATGATAAGGACATTTGCCTTGATGGAAGGTATTCATTGATCTTTAATTTTCGCCGGAGACAACGTAATAGTTGTGTGTATGGTGGTGAGGTAAAGACGATGAAAGTTCGTCAGAATGAGAGAGAAGTTAAGATTGAAAACAAAACAAGGAGACGCAGTTTACAAATAATAACTTGGCTTGTTGAAGAAGGGACTACGGTGAGTATGTTTCCGACCATGGATATTATGCTTCATGTGCCTGGCTTTTACGTGCTGGTTTTCAGAAAGTGGCGAGCAGGGTGGTTAGCATCTTAGTGCCTCTCGAGGTGTTAACGTATCTGACTGATATGATGTCCCTGCTGACTTGTTTATCATTCAAATATTTATGACAGTTCGTTTCTGGTCTTTGGGCACACAGCTTCACACAACATCCTAACTCTTGGATACTACACGAAATGCAACGTCCGGCCTAGTGGTCAGGGGCGCCTTGCATACATACTGAGATGGTCGTCGGTTCGATCCCGCACCCTGGTTCACCAAGCTTTCCATCAGCTTAGAAATTGGTACCACACATGTTTGGGAGGATTGCAGCATTGACATGGTACACGGGTGGGCCACAACGAGAGCCACATATGCATTGCCGAAGAACAATAAGCTAAAAATCGACTTGGATTTCACGTCTAGATTTTAATTGGGTTTTAATTTTAATCGTCGTTTTTAATTGGGCTGCTCACCGTGGTCTATAAATGAACTATGGATGTACAAGTCAAAAGTGAGACACTGATATGATGGAAACTACCGATAAATGAAAACAACGATAGATTGGACAAGAAGACGATGAAAATGACGACAATGAAGGCCATCTACCAGATAGGTATTAATTGTCATTTAACATTTATCATGGCAAGCTGACTGTACCAACAGGCGTTAGAATACAGAAATAGAACATCACCTTTTCTTCAGGTTTTTTTTTTCTTCTTAAACAAGAAATGTATGAGCTTTCCGCTTTCCATTCCTCTCTGTTTACTGTTTATATGGTGTGACCTTCGAAAGGACAAAAAACTAAGGTAGAATACTAACGTTGATCATGTTTCGAAGCAATGATGAAGTTTCCAAAGTTTTTGTAGACGGCATTCATGTCAAGCCATCTGAAATGAAAGGACATTTTATGTGACTCGAATGGAAACGTAAACTTGGATTAGTCTAGCGGGATGAGTAAATGGTAGTGTTTCATTAGCGACCAATACTCTTCATGTCGCATAGAGAGGAGTAGTAGTGAACCAGTGAATCACACAGATAAGTTATAAGGCAAGCACATAGCGACGAAATCCCAAAACAACAGCCTAAGTGAAGAAGTGCTTGTAAACATTGTCCAAAACATTCAAAAAGTAAAAGCGTGTAACGTGGTGTCTACTAAAACGTTCAGAAAGTCACCGACCCGCACTCGCTTTTTTCAAAATCACAAAGAGATGTAACACAGGAAGAACATCTGCATAAGACTTGGTCGCCTACAACTTGACATTCTCCAGAACTGAAAAGAATACAGTAACGTCAAAAGATTTTAAACAAACACATGGTGTTACGGAGTGAGAGTAATTGTTTCAACAGATTTCTCGACAACTCTATGCGGACGCTTAGCTGATGAACGCTCAGCTAAACCAGTTCAGTTGGGAACGTAGTCGCAAAGTTGGTAGCAAATCGTCTAGTCAGCAACTGCCGACGTCTAGTTTTAGTGACGATGTAGAATCACCGAAACGAGGCTTTCCTCGGAATCAGGAGGAAAAGTTGCCATACCAGTGAAAAATATGTTTGTGTCTGCTATTAATTAGCAGTAGAGCTTCCACAAAGTCGCATTTGTTCAATCATGTAGAAGCAGGTTCGACATGGTGTTCAATACCGTTGTTGTTTTTGAAGTTCATACCGAATAGGAGATGCAACCGTGAGTGGAAAAAGTGGATCCTGAATGTTTCGACATCGTCTTATAGGTTCAAGTGAGGAAGAATGTCAGCTTAATGCGTCAGCTTGTATTTACATAATCTCAGTTACGCTTCGAATCCGCGGTTACCATGATCGTAGCTAATGTGCTATCTACCAGGCCAACCAAGGTCTCTACTTTGCGTTTCTTGCATCGTCTTGTACAAATTGAGTTTCACATTGAAGGGCTCCGTTACGTAACTTTGGTGATCTCAGCAGAGATATAGCGGCTAAAATCGTCTGAGAGAAAATGATTGGACACACTTCGATATTTACAGAGGCTAACTACACCATGAAAAAACTACTTTTTGTTTCAAATCGATCCTGAATCCGTAATGTACTAAATATTTGAAATGAGATGTTTGTCTGGAGACATTGTTTGCGCAAAGATAGCCTTAGCACTAACCTGTTTATGTGGCTAGCTTTACAGTTTCGATTACACATCTCATTACCATCTTTTCGGGCACATACATTCTCTTGAAGTAGCACCTCATTACGCTCGATTTCTGTTTGATCCTGGAGGTTGGCTGACCACGACGTCGTCGCTTGAAGCCAATCAACATCGGTCGCTTCTTTTCTCGCGAATGATTCATTTTTACTCGGACTTAAACCGTTCTCGTGATAAGAGCCACCGTCGACACGATGCAAGGGCGAGCGCCTCATATGACATAAACAACGCTTGATGAAGGGTGATTCGTGCTGACGAATACATCGAGCAAATTTCCTGAAAATTATACACATTGTGCTATTTTTAGAGGGTAACAGGATCTAAGAAACTTACAATAACTTCCTAAGATGATAGTTTAGAAAGGAAAATGGTTTGCGACTATATCAAACGTCACTAAGCACCTCAAAGTGTAGGGGCTTGTTTCTTATGCATGAAAGCAGACCATATCCACACATAAACAGCGCATCAGTTTCAATGTTTTGCAGTTTTCCAGCTTCTCCAGTTAGACGAAATCAGAGGAAATCGAAATCCATATCGAAATACAACGAAATCTACTTCAGATACCACTTGAAGTTTTAGTGCAGCGACTTTTTTTCATAACAACTTCTCTGAAAATTATTATATCGCAACATTCAACTTTAGAATGATTGTTAATACGGAGAATCAAGCGTCAGAAAAACTGTGTATGCAGTTCGAAACACAGGATCGAGTGACGAAGATGCTCATTATGGGTCTCGAAATTTTTTTCCGATGTCGAATGAAATTGGGTTGTACCATCACTCTTACAATAAATTCGTCGAATGCACAGAATTTTTATTCTTGAATAACGTAAATTATATTCTTCGTATTTGAGAGCGCATAGCTTATAGATGCCTGGAGTATTCGCTTGAAGCTCGAACCTGAGAAGGTGCGCCTGAGATGCCTAAGGTACCCTTACCATATTACGCCAAAGATATTTGTGGAAAAAGAAAGTGGCCAGATATGATTTCTTTGCTTAGGAGCTTCTTTTCCTTCGTAAATAGCGTGAACAGTGAAGAGAAAATGCGATGTGATGCAGCGTACCCATTGACTCCATTTTTCCAGCATTTCTCGCGACACTGAAGTACTCCAATTCGTCCAACGCACATTCTATCGAGTTGCGCGGTTGAGGTTGAGGCAGCGTGGACAATACTCATACACTTGCCTGAGTATTAAATAGTTTACGATGACATTCTCAATTGGAGTTTTGACAAAATAAGTGCCTCGTAGTGTTTAAGTTATCTCTCATTATAACTTCAAAATGATGCTGAGATATTTGCAGAACTCCGGACCGCAGGTGTTTGCGGCGAGGAACGAACGCGCTATTACCCTGTCCGGAGGCTAACGCCTTCATCATCACACCATGCAGGCACTTCGTGTCACCTGTCTGTCAACTATTTCTATCGATCGGTGCCATGAGCCTCCCGATTTGCGCACTCCAGATCAATCCTGCTGATGGGTGAATGCTGATGGCATTGATCGATAGAAATAACTGAGAAGCAGGCGAAACGAAGGACACGCATGGTGTGGTGGTGAACGCGGTATCCCCGGTAAGGGTAATAGCGAGTTCGTCCCCCACCGCAAATACCTGCCACCCGGAGTCCGGATCTCAGCATCATTGAAGTTATATTTCGCAATATATTCTATCATTAAAAAGAGTAGGCAGATAATAAGTTAAAATTATCTCTTATTATTCTTATTATGACCAAGAGTATCCAGCTTACCGACTTCGTCTAAAATATGTTACTTCTTTAGTTCACAGTAACCGATAGTGGAATATATTTCGGAGTGAAAGTATAATTATTGATGTAAACAAAAGCGACTAAGATCGTTAAATTTAAACGATATGTCCAAGATTGCATTTATCTGCTTGAAAATACTTCGAGCTGAAAGCACTGGAACAACCAATGTTATTTTTCTAATTATGAGAGATTTTGTCTCAAGTTCTCGCTTTCGGAGAACCGGACAGTTCAGTTCTCTTCCGTAACGTTTAAGAAAAACAGAAGGGTACATCCTCGGAATCCATACTGATCTAAGAACTTTTCAATGTTGACTGATAAGTGGTTATTTACACTTCACCTCGTTTACAAAATCTCCTTCTTGCCGCTTTATTGCTAGTGGCTTCACCATTTAGATTTCTACTACGTCGTTCAAATGGTTTCTTTACGGACTTGCCAACGGCTGATGTTTTCGTCATGTTTGCTCCACGTAAAATGGAAAACTATAAAATGAATTTGTGCAATAATATCATGGAAAATAAATGACTTTCATAAGAAACTTGAGGAATTTAAGCAATTTTCTTCGGACTTCAAAAATAGGATAGATGGCGTAGGTTCAGTGGTGGTCAATGTCATAGTGCACCATGCTTTTGAGTAAATTCATAGCATCACCTTAGTGACGGAATGCATGTTTGGCGTATACAGTGAGTTGTACTGGCGTACCAGTGCACCAGGTTTATCCTCCTACACAATGCCAGCAGAAATTTTACGACCCTAGAGCGATGGATGGCTTAGCTAGGCAAGACACAGTATGGGATTCAAACATGTACTAGGTGCATGTTGAACGTCATCTCTGATCAATGCGTTGCAGGGTCTCATTCTACGCAACTTAGCGATGAATATATTGATATGTCTTTAAATATCACTCAATTCTCACCACCGTATATGAGCTATCCGCATTACTACGGCTGACAAGCGGCATCGCTTTCGTCGGCGTTGAACATTCATTGAACTGAGCTGTGACGTCATCAAGAAGAACGACATCGCCATCGGTAATATTGGTGAATACGATAGAGATCTGCAGAGAAATAGATGGGGAGGCACATGAAATATCGAGAATCTCTTCGATAAAAAAAGTGTGCTGAAAAGATTAAATGGTCCCGGACAAAAAGTGTGGGAAGCAACTCAATCGAAATAAAGTATCCTTAGCCAAATATGAGATCTGATCAAAATAAGCTTATGGACATTGATGAATACATGGAACCACAATGATGCTGAGAAATTTGCAAAACTCAGACCTCAATTCTGATTCGAGGATGAGATTATCGTTTTCGCGGGCACCCGTGTCACCACTACACTACTAAGGCATTTGTTTTGCCTTTCTGTCGGCATTTTTTATCCTAACGGTGTTAACAGCTATCATTCGTCAACAGGAATGGATGATGTCAATAAAAAGTTGTACATTGTGACTTCGACTGCAGCCTCACCTTAACTAGGTTCAATGCCGATTTGTGCTCCCCAGATCACTTCTGCTGACGGGTGACTGCTCATAGTACAGTTAGAGTAAAAAATTCCTGAGCGAAAGGCAAAGCAAAAGCCTCAGTGCAGAGGGTGACACGTGAGCTTCCGGAAAAGCTAATCGAGGGCTCGAATTTGAACTAAAGTCTGAGTTTTGCAAGTATTTCAGCATCATCGTGGTAGTACTTGACATAATACCCTGTCATAAAAAATACTGCGCAGCAAATAAAAAGTCAAACACTGCAGCTGACATATTTTATGACTAACAAAGTTGAAACTAAAGTCCAGTTCACCCACATTAATAGAGATTCGTAATGTATTTAGGCCTCTCAACGCTTTACCGCCTCATCGGGGCTGGGAGGTGTTCCCGTGTGTCGGGCTGCGATGTACAGCGAGGGATTCGCCTCCCGGCATGGTTTCTCAGGCTGGGAAGGAGTCCGGCGCTTTCATCAGAAAGCCTAGCTAAGAGTAAACCAATACCAGGATCCACTACCGTCTTGGTATCAAATTCACATGGTGGTAAATCTTTCTCTGACCCGCAAGGGCTGCGACTGTCTGTCTTGGTGACGACCTGGAGCAGACCTTGGCCAGGCTGTCCTCTGAATTCCAGGGAACCACAATAGCTTAACCAACAAACCTCCGAAAAATGGTGATTATGCTGAGGCCCGCACAACTGGTGATGGTGGTCGTTCAAGTGTTAAGTTTCAAAAAATGTGTTCATGACATAAGTGAGAAAACTAGTTTTAGGAAAGGCAAAAGTTACGAAGCATCTTTTTCAGGAATTCAGATCATAACATTAAAGAAAAACAGTTTTATATTGCAGTGCAATACCATGGTCATGATTATGTCTAAATAAGAAATATGTTGTAGTTCAGTGCGTACTTGGAAGCGTGACGTTTGTGGAATCACTTCGTTCACTAGTTTACCATTAGAGATAGGTAGTGATGAACACAGTATGGAATCATCTTCTCTGAAACCTGACCGAGAGTGGCTTTCTCGTGACAAGTGATTGATGCTGTATATAAGAGAATAATGAAAGAAGAATAAAGTGAAGTTAGAAAGAAAATGGCGGAATAACACTCTTGATCTCTTAGATCGATGGTACTGTGGTGGTGGTGGTAAACCTCTGATATGGTAAAGCCCTTTGAGTAACTAGGCACTGGCTACTGTTTAACAGCCAAAATTAGAGTTTGCTGCACAAAAAGTGAAGTTCTTTTCAATCTACTCCAATTGATTGACGGAATTCGCTGAGTTTTTCTAACCCGCTGATATTAGCTTAAGTTATTCGATTCCTCAAAGGGGTTTCGGGCAAGAAATTTGACAAGGTGTGTCGAATACTGTGATGTTTCTCGGGATTTGATAAAAGATAGGGATTAGACACTACCGTTTTTCTAAATCACATGATTGATCTTACAGTTCTGTATACTTGCGCGGATTCCGCGAATTCGATTTCTCGCTATGCATTCGCCATTCACGATGGTCTTTGGATGTGCATTTTAATTTGGCTGCTGCTTGAGGAGCTTGCCTTCTTTATAAATGTCGTTTATTGGTGATCAAATGAGCTCCCTTTGCTCTACCAAATACCGTCTTCAATCTTGGGTTATATAAGAGAACTTTTCCCAGGGAGGTCTCGTTCACTTTGCTCAACTCGCCGAGCAAGAATTTGGTTAGTTCAGGTGGATCGTTGCACTTCACTCCTGCCCACGGAAGGATGCTACACAAATATACAACATTGTGGCGTTTTGATTAGGATGATATTCATCTAGCCACTGTGAAATTCTAGCCAGACTTAATCTCATGAAAAATAGCACTTGTAAGCTTCCTTCACCTTGGTGTTTTTCAAAGATCTACAGGAAGTCATAGGATGAATCAATTCTGATTCTGCCAGTGAACATTAGAAGCTAACAAATCCCCAGCTGAAGATAACTACAGGAGCTGTGATTATCTCAAATTATAAGATCCGCCGAGAGTTTCAATGACAAGTTTATTACGAAGCGTTGGTACTTCTAAATTACCAGTCTTACCTGAAACACAGTTGAGCGATAACCCATGGCCCACGCCAGATTCTTGCTGTCACGTTTACTGAATCCACAGAGCAGAGCGCTAAATATTTCGAAATAAACAAAGATAAACTAAACACTTAATAACCATAGTCATCAGACATATACGTATATTTCTAAAAGTGAGAGGCGTTCGACATTTATCATTCTCGTGATTGATTAATGGAGCATGCGTTCACCTTCATTCGTACCATCGGAAAGATGATTGAATGCATATTTTTCTTCTACAAGGACTTGCGGTGTCCTACTAATCCATCACTTAACCATCTTTATCCTCCCAGATAACTTTAGCAGCAATCTGCGAAGCGCGCAGACATAGGATTCGGTTTGTCCAGGACATGAGACTGAACTAATGACTCTCTCTATAGTGAAAGAGCACCGCTAACAACTGCGCTACACATGCCCTATATATATTCTTTAAAATAGAACTTATGAAAACCAACAACGATAGAGTAGAATGTTGAAAAATTAAGTGAACGAAGACAGTGGAATCTGTCAACTGGTTCAAATCGTTGTCAGAAAGCGGTGAAGACCATATTGTATACCTGGGCATGTATGAAGTTGTAATGTTCCAGATCCACCTGTCGCCACTCCAACCAGATATCGACGAACTAAAGCACGAAGTCGTCGTTGACAAATTCCTTCAGAGTTTCATAACCTTATGTCTGCTTTGACTGCCAACTCATTTAATACTAAACTTACACTTTACTAAAAAATCAAATATTTCCTTACTTGCTAAAGTGAATACAAATTAAGATTAGCGAATTTGATACTGACTGCTGTTTCATTAATGACTGACAAGGAATTGCTTGAAATATACCACAACTGCTAGTAAATATTGATACTGTGAGGTATGCTGACCAAGGAACTCGAACGAATGCAATGCGTTTTATCGATATGCTTCATGAAGTCTCTTTTGCTTTGGTTTTAAAGGCTTTTGAAAGCTCTAAAATGAGAGACATCTCGTTTCCCTTCAGTCACGTTTCAATGGTTCTTCTTCCGTTTTCCCCAATCATTCACCACTGATTTCTCCATCTCATAATGTCGAGATACTTGTCATTATATTATTGATAAAAAAGTGAACAAGTCGACAACAATAATTCACATCTATGCAAAAATACGGGAAACCACGAAATTTTAAAGCAGAAATATTCCTTGGTTTTCCTGTTAGCTAAATTTTTAGGATTGATTAAAGCAGCTGGAAGAAGAAGAACTAGACGTAATCCAAAGAAGATTTTACCCACTCGGGGCTTCGTCAGGAGCGAATGGCATCGTCGAGCGCGGTTCTGCCACATACCAGTTGCCCTCCGATCGTTGCCAGGCGCATTCCATTTCACCGTAGTCGTCACGACACGACAATGACGATGTTGTTGGCTGAATCGCCTACTCATCATTTTTGGAATTTCCTTCTCATATAGATCATCACTCAGTTTTGTAAAACGACAATTCTCATCGATATTTTGTACAATTTTTGCAGCACTCCATGATTTTGCTGCATCGTAGTACTAACCAACTGATGACTTTCTAAAATTCTAGTGTGGTATGCCTTTTGACTATAAAGCATCTTATGCATTCTTGAGTTCAGAAATCCAGACTCTATCTATTGCTTATAGAAGCTCTATGGTAGTGGTGGACACGGGCTGTACTTTACTAGAGTGTAAAAATCATTCAGCACCAATCGTATTCCTTGGAAAGGTGTCATCTATCTATCCACTTTCAATAAGGCTCGTAGAAGTGGTTTAATACACATTTGATTTGTATCTTGACTTGTTGATGTAAGCTAATATATAAAGCCAATGTTTGGATCCTCTTAGACAAGTCTGTTATCCATCTACGATGTGATGCAGGTCGGCATGCGGGACCCAACCAATGCTCATGTCTATTTTGAAGTATATTGCCAACCATTGCGTTACACCCACTCAGTGCTTCATTATAGCACGGTTATTCCTCTGGTTGAACTAATTCCCTGCATAAATTTATATAAAGAATGATGATTTTTCGTGATTTGACAGTCGTATTAGTTGTATGCAGCTCGGTTATTAGTGGCATAGAGAAAAAGATGTGGGGTAACTATTCTTCATGAAATTCATCGGTATGTGAAATACCTGAAAGCAGGAAAAGCATTAAATCTCTAAATCACCTTTGTACAGGCAGCATTCGCCGATAACGGAACAAGCGTTGAATGATATGTAAGGTCCTGTAGCGAAAATGACCGCCTAAATATGTTTCGGTGTACTGTAGTATGGAAACGGATATGTAGGAAATAGTGGTAGACTCATTTTTAGATATATTTTATGTGCCAGAAATGAATGAAATTGTGAATTCAAGAAAAATATGTCAAAAACTTTATTTTATGCTAATGACCATATTTAAAGTAGACACAAAAGTGTATGTCAGTAAGATTATCATCCATAGTACCGCTGTATGGTGTTATCATTGGCTGCGTTGCAGAATTGTCCTGGTAGCTTGCATTTGCAGATGAAGGACTTGATTCCGAAGAAAGACAGCAGGGTTCCTGGAAACGAGAATCATAAAATATTCAAAATTTGATTCATAAATGATTCACTGAAACAGCTGTGACCATAAAATGAAGAGATTCAGAAACGGGTGTTTTTCACTAGGACGATCAACTTAGTTGTGAAATAGATTATCCCTCTTGCGAGCTGCTCTCTATCAGTTGTTATGAAATTGTTAACTTGGATTTTCAGTTCTCTCCAGCTAATGTTATCGAAGGTATCTAACTTGTTGGACTTATTTTAAGAAGACGAAATCACCGAAACGTTATTTATAATGAACTATTAAGAGAATGGCCAATGACAGGCTCAGTTTTATCAAGAACAATTCGTAAGAACACAGTAACTTGTCGATCAGTGCTTAGGTCAATGTAAAACCGCTTTTTGAGGTTCTGGAATACATTGGACCTACTGTTAGTTTTTGAATATGACACCGGAATCGCAGGTTCACGTCCTGAAGAAGTTCTGTTCGTTGTCTTTGCCGGTTATCTGACCAGGCTTTGGATGAATCCCACGTTGTATATCACATACCGACACTATGAACACCTTTAAGTGACGCTGAGTAGGTAAGGTAATGGTGGGTTTGTTGAAACATTTCAACGCGTTTCAGCGAAGAGACCATAGAGTGTTCGAAGAACACCACTTAAATAAATTGCGCAGAGAAGCTTTTAAAACTGAAGTAGTGGAGTGAAAAAGGAAGGGAGGTAGAAGAGTTATGAGTTGGTCATGACAAGCACGCTTAAGATGGAAAAAAGCAATTAGTTAGATTTACGTGTGTAGTACAAGAGATGTGGAACAGTGCCTATACATCGTATATGCTAACACATAAGCTACGTAGGCTTCTGGAGGTGGCTAGGAAGACAATGGGGAACGGTAGAGATGTAATACGGATACTACGGATATATGAATGTTGACGATCTACTATTTCGCATACAGCAAGGAAAGTGTGTTATCAAAAAGTTAAAAAGCTAAAAGCTAACCCGTGCTTCTTAGATGACATGCGCTCGACAGCCGATGTGGATGTTCTTGTTGGCATCGTTGTTCGCAATCCTTGTCGAAACCCTCGCGCTGAGGGCACACGTCGTCTTCGATCTCTGGAATAGCAACAAAAATGAAGGCGAGAAAAGATGGCGAGAAGAGGATGGCGTTTTAAGAAGGTTCAGAGAGAAGTTAGTTAGTCTATTAGTATGAACGTCCTCTAAATGTTGCATTGTTGTATCCTGTTCTTTTTGATGACAATCTGAGATGAAACCCTAAAATTAGGTCATGTATCTGCAACAAATTCGTCATACTTCTCTATTTCTAAGTGATTTTCGATCATCTTTAAAGTTCCATTCCCTACACTTTACCCTTAGAAGAAGATTTTCGGAAGCATTATGTCCAACTGCCATTGCATCTTGCAGAACAGGGTTAGCATACTTTATCGTTGTTCTTATTTTGAAGAAATCCTACTAGAAAGTTTCATAGCATCAAGCTTTTAAAAATATCTAGCAACTTTCTAAGTAAGCTAAATGAAATACGCTTTTCACCAGTTCTTCATCTAGATCCAACAAGCGAGTTGTTAGCTCGGGCTTGTTTTTTTCTGTTTTACATGGTGGCGCTGTTGAAACAATACAGGAACTTTTATTGCCGCGTAGGGATGTCGGCAATGTAGTTACGCTCCGAATTCATGGCAATAGACTTGGACTTAGGATTTCCACTACGCTCTTGTGTTCCACTTAACAGCTATATGGCTATCTAAGCTATCGTCCACTATTGTCACTCAAAAACCAGTCGAAGCGCCATGGTCGGCGCGTACTTCCGTGAGAAAATGCAGTTGCGATAAGATTACATAAGCTTCCGTTTCTAATCGCGACGATCAGCAAGAAAACCGGAAAACCGGGAAAAAGTCTTGCAATTGTTATGACGGCTAATTTATAATTGCATCAATTAAGGTTTGAGGCTTTACAAAAGACTAGGCTGTGGAAGCGCCAAGATTTGTGGACCTGTGGGCTGGTGCGCTTAGGGTTATCCAGAACTAAACAGTATAAGAAAAGTTGGGAAATACTTTGCTTTGATTTAAGGAGGCTTTTGTCTGAATATGGAGCCTGGAGAGTTCAATGAGTATGAAAAGCGATATTAGAGGAGAACTTGGAAGAAGAGGATGGTCACCCTGAGTCACGACCGGGCCTCAGAGAGTGGTCGATGATCATCCTACCGATCTCGAACTACATGCTCACTTATTTAACTTAGCAGTTCTTCTATATCTTTTTATTCAGTAGGAAAATGGACTGGTAATTCAGCCAAATGGAAGATGATGCGCGCAAAACACATGGTACTCGAGCGACGTCTTCTCAAGATGAACAAGCGCACTCAATACGAAGCTGGTTTTCGTGGTTTAGATTTTAAAATAGTGTCTTGTCTTCGAAGCCTAGTAGAATGTGTCTTAAGTACCAAACATTAACGAGCTGGTCACCGAAAGAGAAAAGAACATGACAATTGGCTGAAAAGAACATTGAGAAGCGGATTCTGAGAAAATCAAAAAACCTTCGACGAATATAAACAAGAAGATGGAACGACATGTGTTCGTTACAAGCTTAAGTCGGCTATGTTCACGGCCAGAATTAATTTTTAGTTTCTGCAATCTTAATAGAGAGAAAACTTGAATACGATCATCTCGATGAATCGTTGCAAGACAAATGAACAGAGAGCTGAAGCGCACAAGACACCAGAGTACGTCTCTTTCAATTACCTAAGTAAATTAATCCGAATCAAGGAATAATTCATTAATCATAAAAATTTAATGTTTCATAGTTAACGCTACTCCGGATGAATTTCTGACCAGATGTCCCACATTGTTGTAGCGTAGAAGTTTTCGACAGCTTTAAAAAGAACTTCATAGATCATCTTGAAATGAAACCTGTGTCAATAAAACATTATCATTTATTTTTAGGTTCTCTCCATTTTATCACATTCCAGAAACGTTCAGTTGTTTCTACTGTAATTTTCATGCAAAATAAAACCATTTAAAGCAAATCTAGGCGAGATAACTGTGTAGCAAGGTTCGTAGTAATCGGATGTGCATATTTTGAAGCCCCAAGAAAACGTTCGTTTCGATCAAAGTGATGACTAGGGATATTCCCGTAATATTAAATTGTTCAAAGATGAATGAAGTTTTGATTATGTCAGTTAAAGTCCCATAACTTACTTCAAACAAAACTTCTTTAATTAAAATAAAACCATTTGAATCTACTCACTTTGCCAACGAGAAACAAGTTTACTTATTCTAGTTGCATAAATTTCTGGAGTTCTGGAAGCGATGAATTCGTTGTAGGCATTTTTTGCGTTATCGTGATTGGTGAAGCACTTCTACCGCTGGAAGTCGTCAAGGTGCTTGAAGAAGTGATGGCCTCCAATTAAGAGGTCTAATAAATATGACTGATAAGGCAAAGTTTCGTACCCAACTCGTTCAACTTCTGCGGTGTGGTTTCGCACCGTCAGGCTCGGTGTTGTCTTGAAGGACTGCTCCTTTTCTGCTGGCTATTGCTGGTCGTTGTTGTTGGAGGTTACGGTGTGTTTCGTCGATTTGTTGGCAATATATTTATTTATATGATCTTATAAACTGATCTTTAGCTGGTGCGAGGTTGGTATAGGTCTTCGTTGTCGTTGTCGTTGTTGTTGGTGTCGTTGGCCGATGGCTGACGTTTCGGCGATTTTGCCTTTCTCGGAGCTGTGATGTTACGAGTTGGACCCTCTATAGGACCTATGCCAACGTCGCGTCAGCTAAAAAAGATAAGTTTATGAGATAATATAAAGAAATATATCAGCTATCTATGTTGAGATTTATAGAAAGTCGGTTTGAGTTGTTGGCAATGCTTCTGTGTCGCAATCGTTTCGCCAGGATTCAAAAGCCGTAATGAATCAGCCTGGCTGCAGACCACCAAACAGTTATCATAACCTTTTTTGGTGCGATTTCGACTTTGGGAAGTGTTGTGGAGCCTGATCGCAATCGAACTATTGAGGTAAAGTTGCCGGTTGTCGTACTGAATCCACCTCTCGTCGCACGTCATAATTCCATCAGGAAAAGGACCGTTTGGTTGAGCAGAACAAGAGCAGACAACACCTCAAAACGGCGATTTTTTAAAATTATCGTTTAATTCGTGCGGCACCCACTTTTCGAGTTTTTTTCTTTTTTTTTATACGATCCGAGTAATTGGAAACTGTTCTTGTGCTTGCGTCAAGCTGTTCTGTAAGCTTTTGAACAATTGTCTGCGCGTTTGCTTCCACTATTGCCTTCAATTCATCGCCTGCAAGTTGATTCCGTGGCTCCTTGACGTCCGTGGCTTTCCTTGTCTTCGAGGTCGAAATCACCAGATCGGAATTTTCGGAACTGTGTTCGCACTGTTGATTCGCCAACACTAACTTCACCACAAACTTGTTTCGAGCCGTCTCTGTTGCACTGCGATCGGGTTGAACCCATGAAAGAAAAATTGACGAAAATTCGTTTTAGACCTCTAAAAGTGCGAAATCATAAATCGGTAAAAATTTTAATTTTTAGCAAAACATAAAACATGATTAAAAAGAACATAAAATCAGCTTTCTAGTGATATATAATATTGCAGGGACAAGGAATATTTTTTTGATAAAAATACATTAAAATAATAAATATTTGAGAAGCTGATTTATTTCCGAACATATCTCGACACGTCTTCATCCATATGGTAGAATTTTTATAAGGAACAGAGGAGATTAAAAAAGCGCTAGGGATATTGCCAGGGATTGCTAGTTGCCAGGAGTTACACGATGCCATTTCTATTGTTCTATTTTGCGAAAAAAATTATAGTATAGAAGAAGTACTTTTTGCTGGATCAGATATGAATGGGCATAAGCTGATTGGCAACAGGGAGTCATTCCTAGAATTCCTAGAAGAAACCAAAAAAGACCGACGTACCGAAAAATATTTGCTAAAGGAGCGAAATCCAACAAACCAGTTTTAAAAGTTTAACAATGTTTGAGCGAACACCGTAATAACTCGAAAGGACGACTTTCTATAAACCTGCACTAATTATTTTATGCAAATTTCGTCGAAATCTTACGAACTGCGTCTATTGAGTTTAGGTGAGATTACTACCAGCTGTTATTATCATTCGAAAGCTGATTTCGGTGACTTCACTTTCTTCAGAGCTGCTTTGCGTGTGAAGAACGTCAGACCAGACGTAATCACAAAAACTGATAACAGCCTCGCGTCAACTCATAAAAGGCAGCTTTTAAAAATAGATACTATGTTTAATTCAGGTAATATTAGAGGAAGACTCCAGGTAGCGTAGTAGTGTTGATACCGATCATCAAGAGGATGATGCTGCTTTGATCTCGTTCCAGGCTCATCAAACCGGTCATCCCTCCGAAGTCGGGAAATTGGTGCCAGAATTCTCTTTGAGGGCGTTCTCTCTGCACTCCACGTGGGACTGCTCTAGCCTGGAGAACCACTCAACCAACCTTCAATGACAAAAGTTTGATTATTCATGTCTATGATGGATGTGAGAAAGCGAATTGAATTCACGTGTCACGTGTTGGGATCTGCACAGTAGATGCGCAAAACAGGTTTTGCAAAACAAGACAGATAATAAAAAACATTAGTGAAAGTGGGATGCTTAAAAATGCTTAAACATTCATGGATGTTGTCTCAACCCCACACTTAGCCAACAAGCCCTTCCATCCACATGGTGACGGCATTTTGATAGCAGACGAGCCCAGGAAGCGTTTCCTCCTATCTATATTAGCTGGAGACGACTGCCACTGATGAAAAATGAGCACGTTTAGGCAGAACTCTCAATATTCCGAGGAAAATGAACTCGGTCATCATTCAACGGCATTCATAAGGAAGACGAATTCCTCAACTGTTAGACGAATTCGTGGGCAGATATGAAGGTATTCGTAGGCAACAAGTAGAAGACAACAAGCCAAACTATATCGAGGAACTTCTGGGAACCGTATGATATCCGACGATGTGTCATATAAATAAAAAGTGAACTGAATACTGGAAAAAGACGCTAGTGGGTGATCGATGTAACACTACTTTATATCAGAACCTCAAGATGTCACCATTCACCTGTCTCTGAAACAATATCTCCTCAGCACTCAGAATGTTAAACGAGGACGATCATCTCTAAGAGGTGGTCAAGCCATTCGCGATTACATGGACACCATAGTCTCCATTTCTATTTTCGTGGGCTTCCGAATCTTTTTGCCAAAATATGTTTATTAAAATCAAACATGATAATAGTAGTGGTGAGAGTATATTCGAAAAACTTCGTTGTCCGACAGTTTGCCGAACAAACGGCTGTTATTTCATTCTAATCACAATGGCAATTGCATGGATTGTAAAAGTATATAAGTACTAGGACAGGCTTAATATAAGCCTGAAGCCGTTCTGAATACCGACAGCAATAAATTTGCATAAAGGGCCAAACTAAAACATAGTAAATAGTAGCACTCATACCACTCATACCCATAGAACAAGGATTGCTCAACAATTCTGCAGTGGTGATAATCCTTAAAGCTCACTAGTTAGTGAAATAAATACTTCTTTATTTTTAGAAAACCAGAACGTCTGCAACCGACTTAAAATTACTTGTGTTCCAATGGGTCTGGAACAAAAAAACTGGCGCTGTCGCGAATGGGCCGGCCGAAAGTGAATTACATCGGATTTGAGGTCAATCCGTGATTTACACTGCGGATTACGCCATTTTAACTGCTAGTGATCAGTCGACTTTGACCGAATCCACCTCACTGACATTCATCGTAGTTACAACGAGAACGACTTGAATGCATGAGGCCTTGCTGGATACCTTTTCTAAAGTTTCCGCATTCAAAAGAATGACTTAATAAGTCTAACGTAATTCGAAAACATAGATGGGCAGGTCACATAATGAGAAGAACAAACGACAGATGGACGAGAAGAACAGTAGAGTGGACTCCAAGAGAATGCAAACATCCCCTAGGACTACCACCTACACGTTGGGCGGACGAGTTCCTAAACAAAGTTAATCAGCTGTACCCCCAGCTGCAGTTGTTTTACAGATTACGGTATGAGACTCACAAGCACTACCATGTTCGAACAAGACCACCACCATGGACTACGATTACGAGAAAAAAGGACGAATGGCACACACTGTTGTCCGCACAGCTCGTGAAGACGGACCGTCCAAGTTTCCAAGTATCCAAGTGTTTCGAAAATTTTCCACTCTTTTAAGGCTATATGCATTTAAAAAAAGAAAAAAAACTCGTTGTCTAAAATTTTTTTTCGAAAATTCCTTTTTTGTATGATGTGTGGACGCCGGCTCGACAACGCAACACAAGTTCACCAAACACGGAAACATTCCAGTGTCAGCAAACTTATCTGAGGCTATTGAAACAGTGAACTGAAACCTCAGTAGGCCATCACAACTCAGTATGTAGGCCAAGTATGCATAAAACCACCTCTGCGACGCAACGAGTGGAGTCCATTGCACAGTGTACCGCTCAAAGATTGCTCAGAAGTCGAACGGTTTACCCTTCACAGCAACTGAGCGAAGTGGACGACGTCCTTACTCGTCATGCATACTCTTAAGAGCAGCATAGAGTAACGTTCTACCTTATATGGTGGCAAAAAACACATATGCTTTAATAAAAAGCTTGAAAACGTACGAGGATGTTTAAACATGTAAAATATAGCCAAAAATGTTAAGCAGTAAATTAAAGTTAACAAATGAATAGACAAGTCAACGGCAAGGAACAACGTTGTTCTTGAAAGGACGGCAAAAATTTAAAAAAAAACAAAGATCTTAGCATTACCGTCATATTATTTGAAAACGGAACAAGTATTTGTTGGAAGCAGATTCGATTTCTATGACGGCTAATGAAAATCCATAGAAAGGCAGCTCGTGTTAGCGAAGATATAACGGGTGAGAGACTTCAGTGTCAGTATAGAAGAAATTTCTCTATGGTACAAGATACTGTAAAAACAGAAGTGTACTTGGACTGATTCATTACCTTTTTCACATGCATTAATTGGCCTCGAGAACAGGTTAACAAGTAGAAGAAGCGCTGTCAAACCAACACCAATTCGTAGACGACCAGCGGCCATTCGCGAACTGGAGACGCTAGCGGATCGCCAGTCAGCCACACCTCCCCAGCATCAACGAAACCCCACCGGTCAATCACAATCGTCCAAACCAATTGCATTCGGGCAGCACAAAATGCAGAAATGAGCTGTGGACCTGGGCACGGTACATGTAAAAATCTGGCTCCGCCTACTACTCTTTGTTATTGGAAAGGGCGGTTTTTTCCTTGTTGCCATTACATAATTGATAAACTTCGGCGGCAAAGATTTTATCTCTTAATAAAAGATATTATCAAAACTTGGAAAGGCTTTTGCTTCGAAATTAACCACATATTCCAAAAAATCTGTCTACTACCTTTTGATGGCTGTGACCGTAAGGTGTGAATTAAATGGAGAATGGATCTGTTAGGAATCACTAGGAGTTGGCATAAAGGGGTTTTGCTTCTTAGGTGCTGAATTTCGTAGTTGAAAATCAGATTTCCAGAACGATTGCGTCTCTTACTCTATTGTTTTATCAACAAAGCAAATTTTTATAGGTTTTATATCCACATAAATCCATTTGGATTTATAGAACTGTGACATTGCCTTCGATCGAAGGCCCGTCGCCCAATAGCAGAAATCCCCACCGGTGCTTCAAGAAACCACTGGTTTTGGTTAAAACACCAGCACGGCTGTCTGAGAATTCCAGAATAAAGCACCATCAGCAAGGTCTCATGGCAATAAGGCGAGAAGTCATCACGTTCTCAAACCGTGGCCGAATTCACGTACGAACTCCACCGCCTTCGTTGAACAACTGCAGGTATCTACCTATCTGAATAGTGAAAATGCACACATCTGAATGAAGTTCTGTTGAATCTGAATTAAGCATGCTATGGCAAATATGTCTAAAACTGTGCACGTTTGCCTATTTATTTTTCAAGTAATCTTAGAAAAGAGGGCGAAGTCGCACCAATAAATTCATCGAATCTTTAAGCACATTAGTTGTCTCAGAATAATCCGAGATTAAGATATTAATCGGAGATCGTCGAAGACCACACATTCTTCAAAGGCCCAAAATCGTGTTTCACTCCAGTATTCTACTTACTTTCAAATTTTAATTTATACGAGTAGTTAGCAGAAGATGTACTATATTATATCTACAATAGCGTCTAGGCTTCTCCTCTTACGTGACGCTAAACGTTTTCGTCCTCTTCCAATGGTATTTTTAAGTTTCGGGCTACAATGGTTCTAGTTCATCTCTCAATAGATCACACTTAGTTTCAAGAAGGAAGTTCGACGACTTTATTTCTAAACTCAATACGGAGTAAATCTACGCGTGAACTCACCACTATAATAGAAAAAATCAAGTCACAAGACGACAGATCTCTTTCCTGGTCGGCATTTGTGTGAGGTGAAGACTTAGTAACATTTCGGCATGGTTTCAGAATTCCAGGAAAAGGCAGTTGGATCAACCAGCAGTATATCGCAGTATTCGAAAACAGGACATCGCCACCAACGAGGTTGTCTTGGCACTCTAGTGAAAAAAAAAAACTTGGCTAACCAAGAAAATCATGGAAAACTCTAGGGAACTCAACGTAGATCACTTAATAATCGGCCACATCCAGGGATCATTCTCGCTATTTTGGATTAACCGTCTCTATTCAGTATCTTAAGTGTTGTATTCTTTTTTGTTTTTCATATGAAATAGTTACTTTGCAGGTTTAATGGATGGAAATAACATTAAAATTTCTCAACAGTTTACATCGTTTTACAAAATAAATCTGGTCCTTATGGGGTTTTCCCAAAGAGAACGAGCCCATTTGGTCCATCTCTTTTCTCGATGAGGATTCCAAAACCTCATCAAAAGCGTAGTAAATAGGTTGTAAGGCTTTCGATTTAATACTGAGCGTAATGAAGCAACAAGACGTTTTTCCAACTAACAAATTGCCCGGATTTGTCCTGGGACCAGCATATACATTTGGGGATTCGTGATGTCTGGTTACTCGAGCACTCAAATGAGGGATCGGGCGTGCCATTATCATTCACCTTCAACCAGAAATGATCATACGTCAGTTGCTTTCTTGGATCTCTCAAAGCCAGCGATAAAATTTGGATGTTCTGGAAAACGTTGGATTAGTAAAGAATTTCAGCTATAACTAACGAAGAGAGCAACTTACACATGAAATGAAATACCAAGTCTTGCAAAATGCTGCACTATTTAGGAGGAAGCTTCTTACCGTGATAAAGTCCAAAAAAGGCGTGGATAGCACTGTGGTAGTGATGCCTTTTAATATTTGGTAAGCTGTTGTTCGGCACCACAGCGGGATAACGAGTTCCGCATCCCTACGGAGTTCCAGAGTTGTCAACAGCTTTGTCTTGGAAGCCTACGCCGATCAACGAAGCCTTGGAATAGGCCCTAACATAGTTATATCAAAATTACTATTTTTGCTCAGGAAGAATTGACTTCACCAGCAACCATTCAACACTATTAACAGATCCCAGGATCGACTTTCTCTTAACCTCGGCATTGGAATATGAATGTGTCGTTTTCTTGTTCAGCAATCGCGAGGTCAACCACATGCGACTATAATCAGCTGTTCTAAACTTCCCCATTGGAAGTCACGAAAAAGCGACTCTGAAGAAGGCGATACTGCCGAAACGTCAGCTAGCGTTGTATTGTATTGTGTTTTTATGGAAGTAAATGTATGCTGTTTAAAAAACCTCGCGATTGCTGAACAAGAAAACGACACTATTAACAGAGAAAACGAAAAATCTTGAAGCACTAGTCGAACCCACTGGCGATTCCGGAGACCACGATTGACGATGGATTGGAGGAAAACGAATCGAGTGGAAGAAATTCTGGCATCCACAGAGCACATTTGAAGACGGGTCATGTAAGCAAGTAGATTACAAATAAAGCAATTTCCTGCATTTTCTTGCTGCCACATTTTCCTGAAGGTGCTCAAAGTGAACGGAACTTTGGTGCCTTTTATACTGATAGATTTTGAGCTCTTAATATTTTTTAGACATTATCAATGTCTTTGCTGGTCTAAAGTTATTGAGGATAAGGGGAATACCGATCTTACAAATTGCGAAAGTAAATTTTTGTATTTTATTAGTAACAGATGTCGAAAACTGTCTGAAGACTTTTTCATGATTTGCCTAATCAAAACCTTTTTGAAATATGAATGGTTTCAGAGCAAAGAAGCACACTTTATTCGTTATTGGACTTATATAAACATTTTGATACTCGTTCAATAATTAGTGGCTACTCATTTTTGATGTTAATGGTCGCTTAAGGAATACTTTAGCTCTGTAATAAAAAAGGTAGAATGGATGGATTAGTAGCAATGATATATTATTGAGTGCTTTCATTTCTTTCACTGCTTAATCTCAACGGTCGGAATGAACTGGTTTTGTGAAGCTGGTTGTCGAGCGGCTGCAAACCAGAAGGTGCATCCGATCTAGCATCGAATCTCGCTTTCTTATCACTGAACACTCCGGATTTGGCTGGTATTGATAACGGGGAACCTAATCACAGTTGGATGACCAATCGATGACCAAACTCCATACGATAGAAAATGGCAGTTGTTGCGTTCCGCACTTATCTTGCCTCCCATAATATGCACTTGCGGTGACCTTGATTTGAATTTCTTAAAATTTTTGGATGAATCGGCTTTGATTATACTACGCTAATAACAAAACTCCTTATATTCGATTCGTTTCCTCGCATATTCGATGAGCTTCTTTAAGCTTTTTGCGTGTGGATTCGGCCGATTCTTGAGATGTTTCGTCTTATTTATGAATAGGGTTGAATACCGGTCGATTCAATTCTCCCTCTAATCCTGTGTTAGCCAAACTGGAGCAATCCTACCTGAATTGCAAAGAGTGGCGTTTTTCGAAACAAGTTTAGTGCCAAATTGCTAAACCCCTAGGTGGAAGATGGAAGACTTGGTGAGCCCAGGACTGTGTCAGACGTGCATGATGTTCGTGATAAACGACATCACTAGCATTGTGCTTCCAGCTTTCTTAAAATTGCGTTACGATGTTCAGAAGCAAACGATTGGTTAGGAAATGCATTAATATCAAGTATTGAGTTTAAGAGAAGAGTCTACGCTCGATGATCAGTTGGGGGAACATAATCTGCAACGAAAAGTTCTACTTCAAGGGGTTTTCAATGGGTCTCAGTACGTGATGAGAAGACTGAAATTAAATATGAAAATACTAATGGAAAAGCCGTATTGGACTGTTCTGTGCATAACCTTTCTTCCATTGATATTCATCTTCCACGAAGAATAGAGTTGCTGAATATGGAAGCCGTACAGTAGTTCAACAATTCTGCAAAGCTTGACCAAGGCTAATCTGATTGATAGAGTAAAATAAAGCTACTAAGAAACAAGGTGGATTGGCTTTCTTGTAGTTAATTGCCACAGAAAATGTCGATTTTGTTACAGGCTAGAAAAAACTATAATCACTGAACCGAGAAGAATCATGCATGATAAGAACGTTTTGGGCAAAACTCGTTTATTGCATAACCGAGGAATCGTGGAAAAACGGGTGGAGGACTATGAGTAATTAGGAAGCATGGATGTAACGAGTGATACCTGTTTCTAACTCAACTGGACCACGAAAATATCGCTTTTTGTTGACTCAGATGGACAGGCTTATAGGCCACCTAACAAAGAGGTTACACTGCCACTCCTAGGATTTTCATCACACAGCAGATATAAAAGTCGAATGACTGGAACGAAGAGTTTTTATTGTTTGGCGGAAAACTTAAATCATGTGTTTGCTTTACCAATGACATTAACCCTGAAAAATACTAATGGGGCGAAAAGAAATTTAGAATATTACAGCTCCAGTTTAACAAGCTTCATTGCCGATTTGGGCTCCCTAGATCAATCCCGTTGACAGGTGATTGCTAATGGTAAAAGATCGATAGAACTAGCTGAGAGACAGGCGAAACGAAAGACCCGCATGGTGCGGTGGTGAACGCTTCACTCCTCGGAAAGGATAATAGCACGTTCGTTCCCCATCGCAGACAC